ACAAAAGACTGGGGTTCCCAGCTGCCTCACTATCCTTCGCGAACGCGACGCCACTCACGCGTTCGCGATGCACACACTGCCCTACCCTTCGCTTTCGCATTCGCGTCCTCTCCTCCGCGAACGCGTAGAACAAAAATCTCACCAGCTCAGAACACTCTTCGCGAATGCAAGGCTCCTCTCGCGAACGCGAAAGAGGAAACCAGAAAAATTACAGCAGCAGATATCAACTATCTCACCAAGGCCAAAAATGATGCGTTAACTATTCGGAACAAGCCCGAGCCCCTCGGGACCTCAATCAAATATACCAGCAAGCCCTAATACATCATACGAACTTAGTCGAGTCTTCAAATCACATCCAACAACACTAAAAACACGAATCACACATAGATTCAAGCCTAATAAACTTTGAAACTTTTAATTTCTACAAACGACGCCAGAACATATCAAATCAAGTCCGATTGACCTCAAATTTTGTACACAAGTCACAAATGACATAACAGAGCTGTTAAAATTTTCAGAACTGAATTCCGATCCCGACATAAAAAAGCCAACTCCCCGGTCAAACTTCCAAACTTAAATTCCTATTTTAGCCATTTCAAGCCTAATTTCACTACAGACTTCCAAATAAAATTCTGATCGCGCTCGTAAGTTCAAAATCACCATACGAAGCTGTTGGAATTATCAAAATTCTATTCCGGGGTCATTTGCATATAATTCGACATCCGGTCACTATTTAAATTTAAACTTTTAATTTTTTTTCAAAATTTCATATCTCGGGCTAGGGACCTCGGAATTTGATTCCGGGCATACACCCAAGTCCCAAATCACGATACAGCCCTACCGAAACTGTCAATACACTGATCCGAGTCCGTTTGGTAGAAATGTTGATCAAGGTCAACTCAGTTGAGTTTTAAAGCTCTAATTCACATTTTAATTAATTTTTCGCATAAAAATTTTTCGGAAAATTTTACGGATTACGCACGCAAGTCAAATAATGATAAATAGTGATTTTCGAGATCTTAGAACACAAAATTAATTATTAAATTTAAAGATGACATTTTAGGTTATCACATTCTCCACCTCTAAAACAAACGTTCGTTCTCGAACGGAGTTAGAAGAAATACTTGAGCTGGTGAATAAGTGTGGATATCAGCTGCGCATATCATGCTCGGTCTCCCAAGTCGCCTCTTCGACCGGATGACCCCTCTATTGAACCTTCACGGAAGCAATGTTCTTTGACGAACCTGCCTATCCAAAATAGCCACTGGTTCCTCAACATAAGATAGATCCTTGTCCAACTGAACCGAACTGAAGTCTAACAAATGAGACGGATCGTCGTGATATTTCTGAAGCATAAAAACATGGAATACCGGATGAACCGCAAAAAGACTAGTTGGTAGTGCAAGTCAGTAAGCCACCTCTCCACCTCTCTCAAGAATCTCAAAAGGCCCAATATACCTAGGGCTCAACTTGCCCTTCTTCACGAACCTCATCACACCCTTCATAGGCGAAACCCGGAGCAATACCCGCTCACCAATCATGAATGCAACATCACGAACCTTCCGATCCGCATAACTCTTCTGTCTAGATTGGTCTGTACGAAGTCGATCCTGAATCAACTTAACCATTTCCAAGGCATCCTGAACCAAGTCTGTACCCAATAGTCTAGCCTCGCCCGGTTCGAACCAACCCACTGGAGACCGGCATCGCCTACCATACAAGGCCTCATACGGAGCCATCTGAATGCTTGACTGGTAACTGTTATTGTAAGCAAACTCCGCAAGTGGTAAGAACTGATCCCCAAGTACCCCCAAAATCTATCACACACGCACGAAGCATATCCTCCAGTATCTGAATAGTGCGTTCGGACTGCCCGTCCGTCTGAGGGTGAAATGTTGTACTCAACTCTACCCGAGTACCCAACTCACGTTGTACTGCCCTCCAAAATTGTGAGGTAAACTGTGTACCCCGGTCAGAGATGATAGATACCGGTACACCGTGAAGTCTGACAATCTCGCGAATATATACCTGAGCCAGCTGCTCTGAAGAGTAAGCAGTAATCACAGGAATGAAATGAGCTGATTTGGTCAGCCTATCCATAATCACCCAAACTGCATCAAACTTCCGCTGAGTCCGTGGGAGCCCAACAACGAAATCCATAGTGATCCGCTCCCATTTCCATTCTGAAATCTCTAACTTCTGATGTAATCCACCCGGTCATTGATGCTCATATTTCACCTATTGACAATTTAGACACCGAGATACATACTCCAATATGTCTTTCTTCATCTGCCTCCACCAATTGTGTTGTCTCAAGTCTTGATACATCTTTGCAGTACCTAGATGAATGGAGTACCCCGAACTGTGAGCCTCCTGGAGAATCAACTCACGCAAGCCATCTACATTGGGTACACATAGCCTTCATGCATCCATAGTACACCGTCATCCCCAATAGTGACTTCCTTGGCATCACTGTGCTGAACTGTATCCTTAAGGACAAGCAAACGAAGGTCATCATATTGACGCTCCCTGATAAGATCATAAAGAGAAGACTGATAAACCACACAAGCCAAAACTCGGCTCGGCTCGGAAACATCCAACCTGATAAACTGGTTGGCTAAGGCCTGAACATCCAAGTCTAAAGGCCTCTCTGCTACCGGTAAATATGCTAAGCTGCCCAAACTCTCCGCCTTACGACTCAAGGCATCTGCCACTATTCTTACTTTGGTGTTTGCAACAATAACAAAACTGAGACTATGGCCTTACTTAAAGGGTTGCAATGGTGCGTCAACAATGGGCACAACAATATTTTGGTGGCAACCGACTCCTTATTACTAGTCAGAATGATTAAAGGGGAGAACAAGATTCAGCCATACCTCAAGGATTATATCCATCAAATCAAATGCCTGATGATTCAAGGGCAAATTACTCGTGTTGGTCACTGTTATAGGGAGGCCAACTTTGTTGCTGACTCACTTGCTAACATTGGAGTGGAGACTAAACATGAGAGATTCTTCACACAAGTTAAGGCCTTACCATGAGAGACTAAAGCTTTATTGAAGAATGATCAAAATGGCTTTATTCGCTTTAGAATAAGGTCCCAGAAGTGGCATTTCATATTTGATAATGGTTAAGACTACTCAAGATGTATTAACATATAGGTTTCATTTCAAAGCTAGCTCTTTCATCCGTAACATGAGAGGGGAGTCCTCTCTTAGTGAAAACTTAGACAATACACAAAATTATCTTCGAGCTCACTCACTCACTCTCCATGTATCTCTAGAGGCAAATGTTTATGTCCTCCTCTATATATTCTTTTGGATTATCTAATAGACAGGTAGGGGTAATGCCAAACCCCCCACCACCATAGGGCAGCATACCCTGGGTGATGGCTTGAATTAAAAAAAAATACAGGGATTCTCCATTTCATTTAAAAGATGATTAATCATTTTACAATAATATCAAGGTAACAAAGTACAATATAAAATATTTCGTAACATCATTACAATAACAACAATAAATCCAGTATAATTCCACATAGTGGGATATGGGGAGAGTAGTGCGTACGCAGTCTTACCCCTACCTTGTGGAGATAGAGAGATTGTTTCAAATAAACCATCGGCTTAGAAAAGCATAAGCACCACATTAATGAAGAGAAAAACAAGAAGCGCAACAACGAGAAGCCATGTAAAAACGGCATAAATAACAACCAGATAGTCAGACGACCGAAATGAAAGAAACGACAGGTAGTCATAAAAATCTAATACCAATAGAATACGAAAGTACGTACTAATACTACCGATATGACAAGGAGAACACTAAACTAACTATCTTACTACCCTAATCTTCGACCTCCACACCTTCCTATCAAGGGTCATGTCCTCGGTCAACTGAAGTTGTGCCACGTCTTGCCTAATCACCTGTCCCCAATTCTTCTTCGGCTTACCTCTACCTCTCCTTAGGCCCTCTAATGTCAACCTCTCACACCTCTTGATTGGAGCGTATGTCCTCCGTCTCCTCACATGTACAAACTATCTAAGTCTCGTTTCCCGCATTTTGTCCTCAATAGGGGTCACACCCACCTTGTCCCGAATAACTTCATTCCTAATCCTATCTAACCTTGTGTGCCCGCACATCTATCTCAACATCCTCATCTCTACTACCTTTATGTTCTGGACATGGGAGCTCTTGACTGGCCAACACTCAACCCCATACAACATAATCGGCCTGACCACCACTCTGTAGAACTTACCTTTAAGTTTTGCTGGCATCCTCTTATTACACAAAACACCGGAACAAAGTTTCCTTTTCATCCATCCCGTCCCAATACGATGCATGGCATCTTCGTCGATTTCCCCAACCCCCGTATAACTGTATAACAGACCCAAGGTACTTAAAACTTCCTTTCCTAGGGATGACTTGTGAATAAAGTCTCACCCCCCTCCCCCCCTCCACTCCCTGAGTCGCCCCACTGAACTTACACTCAAAGTATTCTGTCTTAGTCCAACTCAGCTTGAAACCTTTAGACTCCACCGTTTGCCTCCACATCTATAACCTCGCATTAACGCCATCTGGCGTCTCGTCAATCAATACAATGTCATCTGCAAATAACATGCACCACGACACCTCCTCTTGGATGTGGCGCGTTAATACGTCCATCGCCAGAGCAAACAAAAAAGGGTTGAGTGCCAACCCTTGGTGCAACCCCATCATGACCGAAAAGTGATCCGAGTCCCCTCCTACTGTCCTCATTGTTGTCTTAGCTCCATCGTACATGTCCTTAATCGCCCTAATATAAGCAACAAGTATACCTCTAGCCTCCAAACATATCCACAAGACCACCCTCGGGACATTTCGTAACATCAGTAAAATCCTTATTTCATTTCTTCCTCACTGTTGACTATGCAATAAAAGGAAATCATTGTCCTTGGCCTTTTCTTTATTCCTCCTTTAAGGTTAAAAAAAAAGTGTAGTATGTATCAACCATTCAGCCAGACAACTGATATAAAACTGGTGTCACTTAAGCAAATAACTAATCACAAAATAATAGTAAGTAATTAACTTTACACATGTAACAAAACACATCGAAATAAATTTAATGAATCATCTCTTCATAAAGTAGTTTCCCTTTGCTTGGAGATGGTCCTTTATATTTGAGTTGAATCTTCCTTCTTTCATATCCTTCTTGAGTATTGGATGATGAAGGACTCCAACTTTTTGATGAACATTTTCTGTAAGTTGAACATGAAGATGTTGCTTTTGTTTCAAGGATCTTATCATCTTCCTTGCCTTTGACATCCCCTTGTTTACTACTATTGTTAATATTATTATCACCTATATGAACATATGAACTTGACTCTATCGGGTTGAAGTCTATAGAATTATCAGTACTTCCTTCCATTATATGGCTCAAAGTTTTAGCCACCTGCATTAACAAAATGATGAGTCAGAAGTGTGGGAAAAACCATAAAGAGTGTCATATATGATGGACGAAGGGAGTACCTTATAACAATAACATACCAAGTATAATCCCACAAGTGGAGTCTGGGGAGGGTAGTGTGTCAGGATACTCAAATCAAATGTCGGGATTTTAAGATCATATTGATGAAGATTATAATAGTTTTAAGGGGAAAAAATGATGGATCTACTATTCGTATCTCATAGAATCAGAAAATTCAAGAGAAAAACAAGTCTCATTTAGTCTGACGTTACAAGAAAAACTTACCCATTCCATAGTATGCCTCTTATTAGGATCCTTTTTGAGACATTTTTCTGCTATTTCAACCATCCAAAATAGCTGATGGAAATCATGGGAATCCACAATTCTCTTGTCAATTAGACGAGGATAATTCCTTTGCTCCAAAAGTGGCATTGCCTGCACTTAAAAGGGATGTCCTATTATGTAATACATTTTACATTTTCGTAAGTAATATGACCTTGGGGATTTTCTTTTTCACACACCTAGTTACTACATACTCCATATAATTTTGCTTATACAAAAGAAAGGAGAAAACAATAAATATTTGTCTCACGAGCTATATATCATTTTTCAAAACGAAATAAGCATGTGTTATATGGTGAAATATAAGAAACAGTCTTTTTAATTTACCCATTCAACAAGACTTTTATCTTCAGGATAATTATCTGTGGTCTTCAGCCCAGTGATCAGCTGCAGCAGGACAACCCCAAAAGCATAAACATCTGTTTTAGTTGAGAACTTCCCATTTGCTGCATATTCTGGTGCCATATATCCAAGAGTGCCAACCACATTGTTATCAGAAGATATTTGTGATTCATCATACCCAGCTTTTGCAAGTCCAAAATCTCCTAGCTAAGTGATCGATGTTACATAGTTAGATAAAAATATATGTCTAACACCTAAGCTAAATGAATGTCAATTATCCATGCATTTTGATCATGTCCATATTAATCTCTCTACATTTCACACCAGAGCATTTCACCTCAACTTGCTTGAACCAAACTAAGGTTATAACTCAACTTACTAATTAGTGCATCCTACATAATCATGAATAGCAGTGTATGTTTTCCCTCCCTTTTTTGGTAATTTTTTTGTTAATATACTATGGATATAATTAATCCATGGACAACATACCAGTGATTCATGATCATGTGTGATGAGGATGTTGTTAGGTCTGATATCTCTGTGGATGATGTTATGTTTATGAAGATATTCTAATCCTCTGGCAGCACCCAAAGCTATTTTCATCCTCCTCTCCCAATCGCGAGGCGTTCTTATATCTCCTGCAAAGTATAAAACAATTATGCGTCAGCATATATAGATGTTCCAACTTGGACGGATGAGGTTGGGTATATATATGTGTATTGGCGGGTCATTCAGACCCTCCAATATTTACTATTCTAAAACTAATGCATTACCAATTACCTGATAAGAATTGGTCTAGTGAACCATTGCAAACATACTCATAGACAAGCAACTTTTGGTTTCCTTCGGAGCAAGACCCTAACAACATAACCAAATTTGGATGCCTGGCCTTGCTAAGAACCTCAACTTCACACTTGAATTCTTTATCCCCTTGAAGGCTCATACCATTGTGCTGCTTCACAGCAACTCTTAGCCCATTCTTTAAAACCCCTCTATAGACAGAACCAAATCCACCTTCCGATAGAAAGTTCTCATTGGAAAACCATTCTGTTGCTTCTTCAAGCTCCTTATAGCTGAATCCTTTATGCCATCCCATCTTTGGCCTTTTGTTCCCACATGTTGAACATTCAGGTTTTTTGAATATTGCACCACAAAAATATTGATCAATAATCATCTCCACTTTTTCTTTGTCTTTAACAGTTTGATGCTTTTGGGTTTGGTCATTGGAGACGCGGGAAGGTGAGTTTTCGGTTGTTTTTGCTTTCTGGTGAGAACTTGAGGAGCTATTAGGATTTTCCAAGCTTGAACTTGAATCTACTAGGTCACTTGCTGAAGATATTTTTACCAAGTTTTCACAAAACTCGGCGGAGGACTTTCCCATAATACTGCTTGCTTGTTCTTTGCTTGAGGTTCTCACATGAGAAATAACTTTCGAGTCTACAATTCATAAAAAATAAATGGCATTAGAGCACTGTCAAACATAAGCAAAAATGTATTGACAGAAGAATATATTATTTTGATAGAAATTTCAGTTATGTAGAGGAAATTATACATATTGCTTACCTTTTTGCAAAGTAAGTTCATCTGATGAGTCATCGTCGCCTGGAATCATTTCATCATAAGAAAATTTACTTCTGGTAAGGGAGACCTTGGTGTTCTCCATTAATGTTAGTGGCACTCTTACATCTTCTATGGAGTTGTCACTTCTCAATTTTGATATCCCACATGATAGCTTCTCCATAAAATACCTCTTCTCCTTTTTCATTTCCCTACAAACAAAAAAGAACAATTATAAGACCAAAAGGAAGTTAAAAAGAAAGATGGCTCAAAGCAATAACGTTTTATACTACGAACTTCACGTAGGTGTAAACAAGAATTTCGTAAAAGGGATTCAAAAACTACCCTTCCAAGACCCCATTCGTGGGACTTAGTGGTTTGTTGTTCTTGTTGGATTCAAACACATGGGGTTTTATGTCTACAGGATTCAACACATATACAAACATAAAAACGTATTACCTATATGTATAGTACAATTTTTAGATGAAGAGGATTTAGTTGAACCAAGTAAGCGTGGCTCCGCCAAGTTGACGATAACTTAGCTATTAACCAAACAATACAGATAGTAATACTCCTTCCACCATCTACATAACCGTTTTTCTATTTTCGGACGTTTTAAAATATTTGACTCATTTTGACAGATAATATTAGTTTGTACAATTCAATAACTCAAGATCATTTAACTATTCATATTTTACTATGGTGTTGCTTTCTCATCAAACTAACTTTTCAATTTTGACTTTATATTCGATTCTACTCGCACTAATACAACAGATGAATCAAACTAATATTTTAAATTTCAGGTCTAGTCAAATTGAGTTATATAAAACGGGATATAAGGAGTAATAATATCAATTTCTGTAAAATTCTAATGGTAGTACTAATTAGAATTGTGCATTTGAGCTACCTAATTTGAGTTTCGTGAATTTTGTAAACTTTCTGATGTTATCACTAACCTATCTAGAATGATCCAAGTTGCTTCCAACCTCTTGACTGCAATCACAGCTACCACCTTTCGTGAATTTCCAGCTTGAACTTCTATGTGAAACTTCACCTGCAACACCAAATAATAATATTCGAAGAGTTAAGATTTCGCACTTGAAATTATATTGAGACTATCGATTCCATGATTTAAGACTCCATATGTGAAACTTTCTTATTCTACTTCTTCTTCGATACAATTTCCTGCCCAGAAATTCTGGTTTCTATTGGTCGGAGAGAAGAGGAATTTTGGCCGATTGCTGACGATTCACAGTGCAAAAACCTAGTGAAATTCCACAAAAATGCTTTCTCTTTTTTTCCCGCCATAAAAACAGATTGGGTTTGTCGAGAAGATGTATAGCTTTCCATTTGACTCGACAGTCTGTGTAGGGAATTCTCCCATTGGGTAAGAGTGAAGAAGCTCTACTTCCTCATTGAACCTCATAGGCATCTTCAATATCTATCGATCAAATTTACAGCTTTTTGTATAGTACATTAGTACTGTATCACAATTCTCACATACTATATCACAGGGGAAAAAGCTTAAATGTTTCATTTGTATTATCCCGCAATTGCTCAATTTTGTTCTTCTTACATTGTTTTTTGGGTCCATTCATATTTTTTAACAAATTGATCCAAATTCACCCACCAATTTTTTATTATGTAGTTAATTGGTATTCTATGAGGTAGTTGTGTGGCTGCCCTATTACCCTTATTAAAAAAAGGTCATAACTTCCGTGGGATATATTCAGATGACAAACTGTTTAAAACATAGTAAAACTTTTATTTGATAGATAATGCACCGCATAACTCTCTAAAATTATTATTATTATTGTTATATTGAAATTCCGTTAGGTGTCATATCTTAACATAGAAATAGTTTTGGATCAAAAGCTTAACAGAAGACAAAATTAATTAATCAATAATGAAAGAGCAAAACTATGATAATGGTTAGGTTGATGTCTCCATTCACCTCATATTACAAATCCTAGTTAATAAAAGAGCGAATGTAAAATGGACAATAAAAAAGTATGGACTATTCTTACAATAGTGATTATTTTCCGTATGACCTTTTAGGCCACTCTTTAAGTTATACACCCATGTTACTTAAGTGGGCTAAATTCCGTCTCTTTTTTTTTTGGGTCAACAAAAGAAACTAGATTATATTAAAGGGAGAAGTGCACATTTAGCCATTAATTAGAGATATACTTACTCTTTAGCCATTATTTAAAATGTATTTACTCTTTAGCCAGTACTTAATAAATTTTTACCCGTCCGAACGAAAATACCCTTGTGTTAGACATGGGTGTTGTGTAAATATTAAGGACATGGTGTCCTTAACTTCATGAATGTTGTGTAAATATTAAAGACAAAGTGTCATGTATTTGCACCTTTCATTGTTAAACTTTAGGACATCATGTCCTTAACTTGTATTTGCACCTTCTGTTGTTAAACTTTAGAACCTCGTGTCCTTAACTTTATATGTGCAATATAAATGTTAAGGATATAGTGTCCTTAACTTCATGTGTGCAGTGTAAATGTTAAGGACATAGTGTCCTTAACTTTATGAGTATTATGTAAATATTAAGGACATGGTGTCCTTAACTTCATAAATGTTGTGTAAATATTAAGGACAAAGTGTCTTGTATATGCACCTTCCGTTGTTAAACTTTAGGATATCATGTCCTTAACTTCATATATGCAGTGTAAATGTTAAGGACACGTCGTCCTTAACTTCATGTGTGCAGTGTAAATGTTAAGGACACCATGTCCTTAATATTTACACAGCACTCGTGAAGAAAGTGTAAAAATATCTCTTCGTATTAATTTTAATAGAGTAATGGCTATTTTTGTTCAGCATTAAAAATACTGGATAAAAACTAAATATCATGTTAAAAAGTGGCTATCCTACGTCTACTATATTAATTATGAGTTAAAAGAAGTTGGACGAATTCTTAGAAGAGTGACTAAAATATAAATGAAGTGCATAATTGTCTATCCTACATCAGTAAGGTAAGATCTTGTTCTCCTTATTCGTATTTTTTCTTTTGAATATTAATAAATATGAAGAGGTAGAGGGCGGCCTAAGAAGTATTGGGGAGAGGTGATCAGGCAGGATATAGCGAGACTCCAGATTTTCGAGGACATGACACTTGATAGGAAGATGTGGAGGTCGAGTATTAGGGTTGTAGGTTAAGAGGTAGTTGAGTCGTGCCTTACTTCGTAACATGGTGGGACTAGCCATGTAGGTTTTTTTTATTTTTTATTTTTTATTAAGATAACTAGTGGGAATATTGTGGCTTACTATTTCTCTTTTCAGTGCAGGTCCTATTTACTAGCTATCGCTTTTGCTTTACATCTTTCTTCTAGATTTCATGATTTCCTATTTTTCTTATGACTGTTGTGGTGATACTAATATTTACTAATATTGTCTCCCTTTACTTTGCATCTTTCTTCTGGATTTCATGGTGTACATGTTTATCCTATGATTGTTGTTGTGATACTAATATTGTCTCCCTTTTTGTCCCTTTTTGTCCCTTTTGTCTTTTTATTTTTTGAGCCGAGGGTCTTTCGGAAACAGCCTCTTTACTCCTTCGGAGTAGGGGTAAGGTCTGCGTATACACTATCCTCCCCAGACCCCATTAGTGGAATTTTACTGGGTTGTTGTTGTTGTTGTTGTGTAGAGGTCCATACTGGAGGTGAAAGCTGAATGAATTAATTAAAGAAATATGAAGTGACTAGTGAGAGTTTTAAGAGACTAACCTTTTGAATTTCACATTGTTTCAACATCATTAGCATCTCCAAACTCTTATTATACTCCTCCATCCTTTTAACTAGTTCTTCTTCCACCAGTTTATGGTCTACTCTATTCGGTTGCCCCACTAGAAAAATGAACAAGTTGAAGAAATAATGAGATATTCAATCATTTTTCATATAAAAAAATATGAACCCGTAAATATTACTACTAACAATTTCTATTGCTATAAAACGTACTTATGAATTAATTTGGTATATAATTAGTTCTAACCAGGGGCAGAGGAGAGTAGAATCTACGGATTCGATCGAACCCAATAGTTTTGGTTCAAACTATATATTTGTCTTAAGAAATTCGTTGAACATGTATAAATTATTAATTTAAAACTCAGTAATTTAAAGATTTAGAATCTCGAACCCATTTCAAATCCTGGCTCCGCCTCTGGACTTCTTGTTAGTCCCGCCAATATTGTTGTATTTGTAAATAATAATTCTGCAAAATATAAGTTATCGTAATGAAACAGTAATTAATTCGAGCCCACTGAATTCACAGTGTTTCCTTAAGGAATTTAATCCCCTCCTAGTACCCAAGGTAATGGATTATTTCCTCCCAGGATAGAACGAATCACACACTGGTGTAGCGGTACTTCAAACCCCAGTGTTTCAGTGAACACAAAGTTCGGTAGCAAATCACACTTACAGTTGCTTTGTTTGAAGTTAAAACAATGCAGAACGAAGGAGTAGAAACTCATAAAATCGTATGGAAATGCTGAGAGGAAGGAGTGCAATGTATAGCCAAAGTTGAGCGTTTTTTCAGTTTTGTTGGTGTTTTTTCGTTTTTCGTTCGTATCTTTCTTCAACAGCTGCTGCACATATATATAGCAGCTAGCTTTGAAGATGAACGACCCTCCACCCTCCATGGTGGAGCATGCACTAGCTTGTTTGTGGAGCTGATGGCCAATACACGGATTGGAATATATCCGTTACAAATGCGGATAATCTTACGTTAATATTTACTATTAACAAATAAATTTGGTCCAAAAAATCAAAATCAATCAATCCGAATGCCGTAGTAGCCGTAGCCGAGCCGAGCGACGACGACGGCGGCGCGAGGCTTGCTTTCTTCTTAACTCTTTAATAGCTACAAGAAGAGCAATTATATATATACCCACCAAAAATCTTTTCCTCTTCCAATATGGGACAATGTCTCATTATCAAGAGGGGAAACTTAAAATTTTACTCAAAAATTTTTATTTTTCCTCCATTTCCCATTCACCCTCATTTTAAGACTATTTCATCTTAGATAACAAAAACCTCAACACTTCTAACAGAAAGTATAGAAGACTTACGAAGTTTTACAGTGCCCAGGAAAGCTGATGTAGTAGTTGAGTTATTAAATTGGTGAACAATTCCAAGTAATATGAACTCATCTCCAGCCTTCAGACATAAATTATAAAGAAGCCCTCTAATGGCTGCCCAGTTTACCTCTTTTGATGTATCATGGACCACAACCACTCTCTTGCTTCCCATGAAAAAAATTCCTTTCTTTTTTACGTTTTTAAAGAAAATTTTTGATAGATTATGAGGAGAATGGTTGCGATGTGGGTGGTTTATTCGGAGGTGATATCTCCTAAAAAAGTAACAAAGGTGTTACGATCTAAGGTAAAATTCTGCTCGTGAACTTAATGGTATAAACCTGTTGCCTAAATGTGAGACCAATTAGTTGAATAGAGACGAAAGTCTGCCACAAAGGAAAAGGAAAGTAAATTGCTGGTATAAGAAGGTTACAGATTGGTAATTCCTATGCTAAGCTGTACGAAAGAAAACACAAGAGCTGATGTAGTGATTCTGATCATTACAAGGTATCTAATTTGTTGCAAGTGAATTGTTTTGTTTATTTTTAGGGAAAGATTCATTTCCATGCGGTGATAAAGACTTGGGCTATTACTATAATTTATTATGCTACTTGTAGGGGGTGCACTATACCTAGTTTTGTAATATAAAAGTATGTTTATAGTATCTTCTTTTGTAAAATCAAAGTTTTCATTAGTTTTTCGCTTGTATATTATGGCGTAATATTATTTTAAAAGAATACTGTTTTCATATCATGTATAATTTCCAGCAGTAGTACTCTCTCTTCCAGATTTTATAAAATAAGGAGCCGATGTATTCTATTCCTTATAACATTTCAAGATTCAGAATCTCTAACGTAGGCAGATTCCTGTTATTGTCGTTTATTTTTAGTGTTTGGACAAGTTATGCTATATTAATTTTCTAGATTGTATGTGTATCAAAGCAACTATGGCGCAAGGAGGAATGCCAATACAAAATGCGTCAGAAGAGCTTACTTTCCGCCAGCTCTTTTCTCAAGCCCCTTATATATGTTTCACTGCTCGTCCGTAAGTGATATGATGGATTGGTTCGTGGTTTATTGCAATGATAAAGGATAAAATAATAATTGAACCTTTTTTACCAATCAACCCTATTAATTTCACTTGAAAATTGAGTACAATGGACATCCCCAGTGTTTCCCCTAGTTAACAGAAACGATATCGAGTTTGGGTTATTTATAACTTCACTCTTCTTTCAGATCATCTATTTCGGCGGAAAGTATTCATATACCTGTTAATCGGGCCGGGCTGACCCGTTTACAGCTCGGTCCAGCCCGGTACTATAGCGTGGGGCGGGTTGGGACGGGTTGGGCAGGGAGCGGGTTTCAAACGAACAATTTTTTGATATCGGTGCACCGAAACCCGCTAAGCCCGTTAACCCGTTAACGGGTTATTAACGGGTTGTTAACGGGCTACAACCCGGTTCAGCCCGTTAACGGGTTGTCAACGGGCTACA